ATTCTGTTAATCGAATGGCGATTTCACAGAGGCATAAGCCTTTCAATCGTCATGCTCATCCGAATACATAAATTTTATTTTTATCTCAGTTTTTCACATTTTTTATCATATTTTTAATATTTATAGCAATTAGTTTGATGCCAGATGCATATTTTTGCGTTTTTTGTCTTTCAGAGCTAATCAATTAAAAGATTTGGAAAAAAGAGATACTAATATTTCTAGATTGTATTAATGTCCCGGTCAATTTCGCTTTTAAATCTAGCTTGGGCCTAATTAATTTATTCATTCGTTTCCAATGCTTATGTGTGTAGGCCTATCTATTTTCTGTATATAGCTATTTTGTTTTTTTCTGTGCTTTGTTTGATATTCATTATATCCAGAATTTTATAATCCTTTTATTGTTGAACGTATTTCCATTTTGATCTAAAGTGTTTTGATAAAGAGATTCAAAGTTCGATTCCACCATAAGACGGCTGCGGATTCTTCCTGACCATCTGTCGATTGGCTTTACTGGGATATTCATGCTGACGCTGTCTCAGAGGTAATCTCCTTCGACTACGGTGAAAAGGTGCTAATCTTTCGCCCGTCATATGGCGAACATCATCAGAGCAAGGTATCGTCACAAACAAATTCAAGCTAACGAGTCAAGAAAACTCACCGGATAATCCCTAAAAAGCGGTATATATACTCTACATCTGGCCTCTTTGATTAGGTATAAAGTGACAGTTAGTTAGTTAATTACAGTCATATGTCGACCTCGAAGCTTGTGAGTGTATCTGTCTCTGTATGTGTATGTGCCTATTTGTGTTCGCTTATGCACGAAGCCAGCAGTGATGGCTTAAAGTAATTAGGACAGCAAAAGTAACGTCTGTTTTCGGCCATCAAGTTTTGATGACCACTGTTTCCCCCTTTCCACATATACGTTATAACCATTAATCCGATTGCGAAAGGTTGGACATTTCTGGTTATGCTGATGAGCTTGTTTTTCCTTCATGTGAGAGAGAAGGAATGGGCTATAAGTACAGAGAAGTGATTGATTAGAACTAAGACAAGAAAAGTCTAATTGAATCGCCTACTTTTTGCAGGCGACTCAAATCCCTCTCTATCCTTCAGTCGATTAATTATGCAAAAGTAATTTTTACGCATCTTCCTGTCGTTATTCCTTACATTCAATGTATTTCCTATTCGGTTTATTTCGATAGCTTCTCTAATTTTACGTTTAGTGGCAGACATGCCATAATCAGCAAGACGAGAAGTTTGAGACCATTCAATCTCGTGTCTCGTTTCTGGTCTGTGCTCAACCAGCTCAGATTTATGAACCCAACAGCCTTTGCAGGCGATTTTGTGCTCAGCCACTCTTTGTCGAATGGGACGACAAGTCTCTTCAATATTAAAGCGACCACATGAACACATTATTTTGTAGTAACCCGATCTGGATAAGGAGTCAACTTTCTCTCTAAA